ATGGATGGATGGATGGATGGATGGATGGATGGATGGATGGATGGATGGATGGATGGATGGATGGATGGATGGATGGATGGATGGATGGATGCAAAGCTTTACACAGTAAGCAGTGGCATAATGGTAGAGGCTGCTGATATATAGGAAGGCCTTAGTCCTCTGTTTTGACATTGGGTTTACATCCTAAGACTTTTGCTGCATGTCTTCCCACTCTGTGCTTACGTTTGGTGCCACAAGACTTAAAAAATAAGCTTCACAAGGATCAAAACAAAGAGCATTCAGCTTCAGGAAAAAGACTGGAGGAAGCAAACAGTGAAACCAAACTTGTTTGACACGTTTATTTGTGGGACAGTCTCAGTGAGTCCACAAGTCTTCATTCACAAACCTACCAATGATTCACTAACATCACAAAGAAAGTTCTCTTGGCCCTGAACGTCTCTTGATCAGAGTCTTGTTTCAGAAACCAGCCCAGGGAGACTTATATTCTGCTGAGTTCAGAGTGTGGCACAGTAAAATATTCAGAAACCAGGAGACCAGCTCCAGTCCCTGCAAGACCTGAACCAGACCTTCAGACACACAGCATCTCCTCATCAGAGTCCAAATGCAGACTGACTGGTTTAGTCCTGTTCTAGTGCTGGTCTACCTCTCAGACCGGATCTTGTACCGCAGGACGAAGTAGGCGATGACCCTCAGAGAGAAGAAGAAGATGGCGAGGACGATGAAGTCCAGGTAGAGTTTGGCATCCATCATGTCGAGCTCCTTCAGAATGGCCTCAGACTTCTGGAAGTGGCAGGTATCTTCTTCATCGCAGTGAAGGTCTGCTCGATCCAGACCATAGATGGACAGAATGGCACCCTCAAAGCCATACCTGAAGCACAACAGCAGCAAATTGTGTCAGTCAGCTGGACAACAGTGCCCCCTGCTGCCAACTTATTGATCATGATCCTGAAGCATTAACAGCTGCCCCCACCTGACATAGGAGATGTAGGACATCCACTGCAGGTACCAGGGGATGGTATCAAAGCTGACAAAGAACCCTGAGAACAGCAGCACCGGGATCGCTGTGACCGGACCCACAAATGTGGCCACCTGCAAAGATCAAACATTGTGAGATTGCCATGGAAACCAATCCAACTCTATGCAGGTGAGGGAAGGAACCGACCTGCAGTGAGGTGGAGGCAGCTCCGATCAGCAAACCCAGGCTCTGAGCCACTAAGGACGTAAGGACTCCCAGAGACAGGAAGAGGAAGAATCGTGCAGCGTCTGGAGGCTGAGCCGTCATCCAGTAAACAATACTGCAGTAAACCACTGGAAACACCACCTGGAAAGAGTTTCTTCTGTCAAAAATCTAAAAACACCATTTCGTGGTTTTGTACAAGTTCCCTCTAAGTTGTTCTTTAGCTGACTCCTGCTGCAGCTTTGGTCAAGTTCAACAAAACTTTTTTTTTGGACCCAAAGTTCTGCTTGATAGGTCTACCTAGAACCATGGGTGTTTTAGTTCTATCTCTACAGTTTTTAATCAATCACACTTTATGTTTGAAGGTTTTTAATTTAACACGTTAATCTCAGAGACCTGTGATGTGATGAAAACATGGATACCTCTGTCTACTATAACACAGTGTGTCACCCACAGCTGAAGGACTTACAGTTTTCTGTTAAACCCTCCAACACTTTAAAGAGTTACACAGAATCTCTCTTTTGCTCAGATTGTATTTCAGCTCTGATTTATTTATGTTTTTACAATCTAGAACTGAAATTTCTGTCTAACCTGTCAGTTCTCAAATAAAGTACCAAGGCAGATACAAACAGATATTATGGGCTGCAGTAGTGCTGTGGGCCTTCCAGAAAAAGAAGGTATCACCATAGTTTAAACACTAAAAACAATAAAGAAATGGTGGACCAGTTCTGTGTGCTGCAAGCTATATGAGTCTCAGATCATCAAAAATGTTGTCACGTAGGGCGTGCTTTAGTTCACACAACCCATGTATCCTCAACATCCCTGACCATGGTTCCAATCCGACTTGTGGTCCTTTACTGCATGTCTCTCCCCCTCACTTGTACCCCCTTTCCT